TAAAATCAAATCCCTCACCCCAGAGACCTCCACAAGGGGGATTAGAAAGTTAGAATCACAGACTTGTCCGCACAGAGGATTTTTGAGTCTGTCGCAAGAGATCCTGTGAGGATGAAGCCGAACCTGGCTCTGCATTCCATAAACATTGACCATTTTCGGATCAAAATGATCACTGGATCTGGAACGCCATTCCATAAAGAGACAAAAGGTGCCTCTGATTTTTTTTTGCTCTCTGAATCCTGGTCACTATTATATAAAAAGGTCGGGTTCTCATTTTATAAAGCAGCAGCATGTGGGTTTCCATTTTATAAATGATTGTCCCTTATAAAATGAAGTCACGGATCCCAGAGACCTCCACAAGGGGGATTCAATTGTCATACAGGTCCAAGCCTTGCTGGCATGTGGAGCTATGATCACTAAATTGGGCATCCCTTGGAGGCGTGACCATATTGGCACCAGTCATGTTGTTGGAAAACGGAGGTTTTCTCCAAGTTACCATAAATCAGCCCAATCGAATCGGTGCAAGGCGGTTCTTCTTTGCTTCTGCATCTTGGGCTCACATGCCACGCAAGCAATCGACCGCATGTCCAGGTTTCCGAATCCCGACAGTTTGCAGGATGATGATGTCGTTGAGCATGAAGGGGATCGATTTGAAAGATCTATCCATATGCATCGGGCTGCAGAACTGGACAGTGAGATTGAAGTAGTGTCAACCCCTTATGGGGCACAAGACTTACGTGAATGGACTCCCAACGACAGTTGGGGTAGCGAGATACAGGCCCTACCAGAGGCCCATGACTATCTCGAAGAGATGAGTGATCACCTTTCTTCGCATTGTGAAGGTGGTCACTTTGAACCAGCTCTCACCATGAGACAAGAAGGCGACGGCCAGCAATCCGCTTCCTCCGAAGCCGACAGGTTGAACATTGACCTGGAAAGCATGAGGGGTGTTGACAATGGGCCATCATTTTTGGGCAGTTTTGTTCTCAGAACACGGACACAAGATCATTGTGTTTCTGAATCACGCCACTCCCTTTGTAACCAGAAGAGGCAGATAAGCAATTTCGTCTTTGAGCATGAGGTAGTTCGTGCCAAGGTGTGGTTTGCACCTGATGGGGGGTGCTCCAAGGAAGCGAGAGACACATATATTTCAGCTGACTCGTTTGAGAACGTCTGTGAATATTTGTGTACTGTTTGGTCTGATAGGATTGACCTGCACTTATGTTCGTGTCAAGTTGTTTGGCCTCAGCCTTCCGAACATTTCGCGGTCGATACCACACACTTCCTGGTTTTCCTTTCTCAAGGTCCAACGGCAGTCCTTGTACGACAGGTCATTCTGAGTAACCGGAATCCTACTAGAGTTGACTTTTGTGCATGTGCTGCTGCCTTCATGAACCGAGAAAGTACACTCCAGCAACTGTCTAAGGTACCTCGTAGAAGGGGTGAATTGGTGGACATTGAGGCTGTTGGTGCAGAAAGTGTCTGTGATTCGCATAGGACCGAAGTTGCAACCCATTTTGGTGATGATATATCCCTTATGCAGGCAATGGGTTCTTTTGCTTCAATGGTTGGACTCGCAAGATTTGAATATGCCGTTGAGAACCAGTGCTGCATTCACCCGATTGCCGACTATACGAGGCAGAACTTCATCAAGAAGGATGGTTTGCGGCAATGGTTCCGAGGGTTTATGCATGGAGTCAACGAAGACTCGATTCGTCTTGCTATATGGAAAGTGGAGATGAGCAAGGCGGTCACACTCTCTTGCAAATATCTTCTTCTGGACGACAGCAATTGGGCCAGACAGTTTCGGAGCATCTGGAGATCTGACCCAGGCTCTAGCACTCCTGAAATTGCGATGGTGGAACCTCAGCCACCTTCGATCAGCAGTGACGAAGACAAGCCAAAGCATGTGATCGCAATAGAGCACAACCGGATGCCTGCCGATCAGGTGGTTCATCTGTATGACATTTGGTGGACGGATGACCCTCACATCGGAACAGGAAGAGAGTTCTTGGCCCGAAGAGCAGTGCGAACAAGGAGGTCTTTGTCAATCAACCAGATTGCGGAAATACTGGGTCTTGTGAACAGTCAAAAAGAGCAGCATTTCTATGCCTTACATCGGTTGGCAGGCGGGCAGTCCATGTTTCAGTTTCAAGATTACCAAAACTTGGGTGTGCCTGATTTTTCGCATGTTGATTTTATCATTCTTGAGCAGAAATCGGCGTGCGAGAATTCACTTGATGAGCGGGGACCAGCTGAAAAGGGTGTCCCCCATGTCTCTTCGAGTGTTGACGACAGGCCGCAAAGCAACCGAGCAGGGGACAACACTGCAACCCCGGTATATGATGACGCACTCACAGGGCTCATGCAAACGACTGCATAGATCGAAGCCACACTATGCTTTGAGCCAATACGAACGCCAATCCAGCTCAGCAGAAGGGGAGACCCTTCTTGGAGGCTCTGGAATCATTTTGCAGGCGATAGAGTTAGAATCTGGCCGCAGCTGGATGAAATATCAGTTTGGGTTCTTGCTGAAGGGCTTTTTGTACAGTCCATCCCTTTGACGTTGTTTTCGTCGAGGCCGGGCAGCCCAACTACTAATGATCCGATGTATCTATGGGAGCAACTGGGTGGGAAGACCATACCTATAGTGTTGATGGTGTATCCCAACCCAGATCCTGTAGTCATGCCGTATGAGCATCTGATCTTTTTACCCTTGTTGGCACATGATGAGAACCAAAGAGCTTTTGTTGTTGATCTAGTACAGCAACCAGAGCCCTCTAAGTTCCCCATGGAAAGAGTAGCCGTACGTGGTAGCCAGCTCACACCTCGCAGAGTGGCATCGATGCTTGGACATGCATGTCATGGGTGCAGGACAGCTTGTACAGCAAGGAAGGGTCTTCCTACCTTTGTTGAAGATCAAGAAATACGATACCCTACTGGGTCGTATATTATTCTGTTTCTTCTGCAGCCAGTCCAGGCCCGGGCGCAAGCAAGGACTCATCAAGTTCAGGCCCAGCCGCCACACTGTGAAGATGGTGATGAGACGGGATTATATCAGTTTGTGCCACCTCCGAGGCAAGGGTCTCATGGAGACAGTGAAAGGTTTTTCTGGGTGCGTAATACTGTGGTCTATCAACCTGCCTTGCTTAACACGGCCCTTAGGGTAGGCATCCTGACTCATCTGCATTGGCCGCTTCTTGCCGTCCATTTGCATAATCGTCCTGTTGAGGTGCGTACTTTTGGGTTTGAGGCCCGTGAACAAGTGAGCTCCGATGACATACGCACTAGGTTCCGGGAACTTTATGCTGACCAGTTTCGCACTGAGGAAATTGTGAGCATTGGGCCAGTAGGATTGGACCTGCTCCAGCATCAGCGAGTACATATATACACAACATACACATGATCGCTTTCCGAGGCAGAATAGGCCCTTCTTCGCGGCCGATACTGTTGTGGGTGCGATTCCGTGAAAAGAATCAGATTGAGACTCGAGCCGAACTGGCAGCCAGGACAGCTACCTTCCGTGAAGGACAACAAGTCGATGTTGCCAACGAACTCATGGGATTTGCTGTGCTGGTGACGCTGGAAGTAGCAATCAGTGGAGGATTTGCAGTGTTGGAACACCCGCAGGACCCACTGGAGCTTCGAACCACCCACCGTGAGGCCCCGAGCGTCTGGGGGACGGCACTGACGAGCTGGCTAAGGCAAGCGGGACTTTTCCAGGATCTGAGAGTGCTGCAGGGACATTACGGGGCCAAAAGCGCCAAACCGACAAACCTACTGATAGCAGGGCTATCATCTAGTACAATACAAGAGATAGAGCAGGCTAGCAGAACCACGAACTGCCCGAAGTCAACATCGATCGGACTGTGTGAGAAGGGCTGGGCTACTAGTTCCTTGAAAGAGTACCCGAAGGACTTTTGCTCTTTTTTGGCTAGGATGTTCGATCGGTGGTTGAATAAGGCTACTCGTGTGTCAGGGTCACCTCTGCTCGATGCAACATGGCTTAAAGCCATGCACCTTGCAGAGACTGACGTACATACGGAAGCAGGCCCCGACTTCCACCCGCTCTTAATTCAGAATTCAACTCGGCAAGGCGCTGAGTCTTCGGACACCGTGCGCAAATAGAAAGAAAGAAAGATCGTCCTTTGCTGTTCATTTCTTCCCTGTGATGTCTCATGCGTTTCTTGCGTTTCCTGTTTTTGTTGCGCATGTCTTGCACTTCCTGGCTTTTCTCCCGCTTTTCTTAACTTTCCTTCTTCTTGTCCTCTTGAGGTGTAGTGAATCCTGCCTTTTGTTTAAAGTTTAGTTGATTTTCAATCCTTGATTTGCTTGGTGTTGCCTTATTGTTGCTGTTTGGCTTTCTATACTGTCCCTACTCTTGTTGCTTGTATTCTGCTCTGCTGGTTGCTGTGTTTTATTTCACCCAAAGGCCCTACGGGACAACCCAAGTGCATCATATGAACAGAGCATCTTCATTCTTTACTCCCTTCTCGATTATGATGCACTTGTCTCATGTTTGTTCGCCCTGCAGCCGGAGTTGTTGTTTTTGCTTTGTGGTCCAGTTGGTTAGTATTTTTTGCACACAGGCCCTAGACACCCTGAAACAATCATGGACATGGAAAACGGTCTCCTGGACACTTATGTCTCTACAAACAGCAAGCTTTCCACTTCCACTGGAGGAACTATCGAGAAACACGCAGATTTCCCCAAATATAGCCGCAACCCTTACCGTACTTCCATGAGAGACATGGAAGGTGATTTGTGTCATACTTCCAGTCAAGGCGCAGTTGGCAGACCGAAACAGCACCCAACTATGACCAAGCCATCTAAAACTTGATCAAGTCTTTGCAAGTGCTAGACTCTTACAAGTGCAACCAAGCCTCAGCTAGACAGACTCTAAGTGGCTTTAGGTCAGAGCCCTTCGACGAAATGGACCGAGACAACCCGAAACAGACCGCCGCGTTTTCCTCGACATGCTGCCTCGACCGCTCCTTGAGGATCTGGGCAACGACCAAGCCATTTGGGCAGGGAAACCCAGCGAGTTTGGGGGAAGCCATTTGACGTGCTGAAAGAGCATGACCCACAGCCAAAGACAGGCTCCAAACCATCCAAATCCTGCGCAAAGCACACGTTTGGACGGGAAAGCAGCATGCTTAACAGGATTTCATTCTGTTTCATGGTGTTTCTCTTGGGGGGGGGGGCACTTCTGGTCCCGTCCATCCCCTTTCCATGTGCTGTGGCGCGATCGTGCCTGCAGGCCGGTGAGCCTGGGGGTGAGCTCAAACGCCTCTTGGCAACGACGGGAAATGGGATGAGGATGAACGACGGAGCTGAGACATTCTGACCCTAGGGATCCAAGAACCTGCTCAGAAGGTGTTTGGGGTGGGTTTGGAGGGTCCAGGAATGTAAGACCTATAAAGACATTCTGAGCCCCAAGAGGCTTCTTAGGTTATGAGATGTAAGACCTATAGACACCACCGATGGTAATGGCATTCTTTTGCCGATCAGTTGAGGCGGTTGAAAAAAGCGTCCGTGTGGGCATATGTTCCATACATGAAGTGTTTGGGAGACATTATCATTACAGGATAATTATCTATATATATATATATACATGTTTCCAAATAATAGAGCTCGATATGGCTTTCAAGGGGCAGGGCATTGGTTTAAAGATCTCCCAAACACCTTGTGACCTACCTAGGCTCGCCAATGGGCCTGAACACCTACTACGTAGCACCCCAGGCGTCCAGCGTAGAAGGGCAATCTTTGGCCGAACGCAGCACGCAGTCGCCTGTCACCCGTGCTGTCGCCTGTGCCACAGCAACACACCGCAGTTCTGTCGGCACAGGTTTGGGGCAAGGAAGACGGGGGGGCTCTTGGTACGGCAGTGAGAATGAAAGATGTTGCGGTTGACCATATATCTTTGAGATTCTTTGGATTTATTTGAGTCCTTTGATCACAGCATTCCGATTCCGGCAAAGGCACTGGTTGGACGTTCCATACTGCGCACTTGACTTGAAGGAGTACCCGCCAGATGTCCAAGCTGGCCTGCGGGCTTTGTCAGTGATGACATGTGATGACCAGCTGGACCAGCTGGAAAAACTGAGAAAATGCACGGTGCGGACCAGGTCATTACGTGACATCGGCGAGGCTTTCTGGCGGACATGTCGTAAGCTATGCTTGCAGCTGCTTGCGTGCGCCAAAGAGTTCAGCGGGTGCCTGAGGAATTAGATGATCAGCACTTGAGGCAAAACAGCACGGACACCTGAGTTTGGCAATTTTCATGCCAGCAGCTTAGAGGTTGATGAGTTACAGACATGTGTGCGCTAAACCTTTGGAGAGACATGCGCGTTTGGCCAACATGTGCGACGTGAACCTGCAGTAACACACCCAATGCAATACATCGTTTGTAAATGTTTCTAATTACGATTTTACACAGAGATACCACACAAAAATATAGGTAACATGAGCCTGTGTGTTGAACCCCATTCCTTGAGCATCGCTTCCACAGAAGCACACATGGTGCGAGGACCACCCGAGCACCGCCGATCAAAAGGCCATAAACACATGGGTCGACCGCTGAACATGTGTCTTCTTACCCCACAAAGGTAGACCCCCTATCCAGCGATGATTTTGGGATGTTGGATGAAACACCTCTTGGATGAGTGTTGATGCGACCTAGAACTCATTAGTCATTGGTCTCATTAGTCATGTGACTCATGTGATGACCTTTTCATGGAGCAAGATGTGGCAAGATGTTGAGCCTTGTTTGTTCCCCTTGTTTCGGGTGCGAAACCACGCGGAATCCCTGAGGTTTTGCTGCCACGGCCTCGGGTGGTGTGGACACGACACACCGGAGACAGCGACCCACTCCGAGTGTTTGGTCATCGGGGCGGCGGCAGCGACCCCGGTCTTTGCGTAAGGACACATGAGGACATCATGTTGGTTCATATTCATTCGATGACCTCACAAAGACCTGTTTTTTTTCTCATTGAAGCAAGTGCCATGTACAGCACAGAGCTTCAGGTTCTGCCTCTCATTTGTCCCAACACACTTTGCAACTTGGACCCTCCCTTGAACAAACAGCTGCTTAAAGTTGAACTATCTACCGAAACAAAACCGACAATTTGAAGGGTCCTGGATGAAACGCTTACTGTACTGTAAGGGGAGATACGGCATACGATGGTGTTCTCCAAAAGCAAACACTCGTATGTTCTTAAATTATTAAACGACATCGTCACATCGTGTTTATGAAATCATATCTCGACACTGCCAGATTTGCCGAGACAAGGCCAGGGATGGTTGAATTCAAGAGCTCTTGACAGAGTGGTTCTCGGCATCTCTCAATCTCCAGTTCACCGGAAGGGTCGTGTGCCAGGGATACATGCAAAAAGTCATTCCCAGACGCGACCTGTTTGGGCAGTCCGGACTGCCGTGAACTGGCCAGGAGTGGGGGTGGTTGGGGGGTCAATGGGGTCAATGGGGTGGTCGATTCAGACCCTTGGAGTCCCGAGGCCTTGGAGCTGAGACCTGTGAGCCTGGGAACTCAGGATAGGACGAGGAGGACGTGAAAAGGGTGAGAACTTGCAGTGCAGGAAAGGTGTACCTTAGTAATTGTCCTAGTAGCCTAGGGCTCCAATCCTATGCTCAGAAGGTGGTTGTTACCCCCCTGGCACCCACCCCAACCACCATCTCACGAGGTAGTTCAAGCCCTAGGGCTTTAGAATGTGTTACACCTGCCAGCACCTTCAAAGTGACCTGATTGGAGTCCCATCAGGCCTTTTCGTGACCTCAAACGGGATCAAAAGGTAACTTTGAAGCAGGTGCATCCTCCAAGCTTGTGGGCACCTGCAGGGCCAAGTAGGCAATTGTCAGAACGGATGTATATATAATATGTGATGACTGGTGAGTTTGAAATGATCGGTCGAATCGATGTTCCAATCTTTCAAGTTGCAGATGTTAAGCAACACAACGTTCATGCAATCAAGTGGATCTTGGAAGACCATGTGTGAAGGATGCATTTCAGTCAACTGGTGGGCTGCTTTCCAGGCACTCTGCGCTTCTCAGGCACTCTGCGCTTCTCTTCGTACAGGTGGACCTCCTTGGACATCGGATGGACCAGAGTTGACCCTCGGACATTGGACGACCAGAGTGGTCCGGAAAACGCACCATAATATTCATTTTTGAAGGTAGCAACAACTGCAACCAATCTGAAACAACCACACAAAGTGCTGTCTCAAAACGTGGAGTGACATTCACACCATTATAATTGTAATCCATCCGTCCCATCAGTTTGGGGGAATGAGATGGATCTGACAGTTGAGATGGGTTAAACGTCAAGTCGACCATTTGAGGACGGTACAGTGGAAAGGCACATAGACAGGCTTCCAAGTGGCATGAGTGGAATCATGGCTTGGATGGATTGAGGGTTGTTCGGCTCCAAGGAGCCCTTTTGAGCCCTCTCCACCCAGTGCCGTGCTGGGTGGCGTTTCCAGCTGAGGTCAAGAGCTCTTCGACTTGCGCTTCGCCATCGTTGAGGGCCCAAATAGGGGTGATTTCGCAGCCGAGAGTGGACCAGTGAAACCACGTTCCAACACCTCCAGGCTTCCTCCGGTGAAGTTTTTCCTCAATCAACATGTGACTCACCTCAGCGACCATTTTCACCAGGCCCGTGGATGGTGACCCATCTAATGTTTAGACCCGAACTGAGCCTAAGTAAGGGCAGGAGCCGTGTTTGGTCTACGTAAACTTTTGATTGTTTGGCCCTGCGAATTTGGATGCAATCCTTCATGTCTTCAAAATCACGGGGGCCTGGACCTCATTGAATGAGTGATCACTCCATCATCGGACCTTGGAATGGCCATGGAACACACCATGACCCCATGACCTCTTGCCCGATCTCATGGGCCACATCTTGGCCCTGAGAAGGACCACCCGGTGGGGTTGGAACATGTTTCCGAATGACCAACCATACCACGTGGTGGAATTCAGGCTCCATGTGGACCTCGGAGCCAGGGCGTGTCAGGGCGTGTCAGGGCGTCTCGCAGCGACACGCCGTGAGGCTCAGAACTTGGCTGCTGTGTGCTTGAAGCTGGAGAAGTACCATGAGGCCCCCGTGCGCGGGGCATGGGGTGGGTTGGAGGAAGAAGAAGAAGAAGATGATGATGTTGATGATGACGAAAACGCAAGACAAGACAAAATAAAGTAATGTGCTACAGTGCTACCCCTCCAAACTCTTTTGGTAGAAGTGATACCCTTTCAACAATCCAGAAAGTCGGCTTCGCTTGTGGAAAGCCACGCGCTCCACCAGAAACTGGGCTGAACCACTTGGATAGGCACGTATGAGGTGATACATATCCCAAACTCTCCATGGGACTGGAAAACATCCCTACATGGCCCTGTTCAACAAACATGCTAGTCCCATGGAGTGTTTGGATATGAGGTGTGGACACATCTCAGACAAACGTCAACGCAGAGCAGCATCTCATTTGGGTCATATAGTCTTCTGTATTTGCTTGGGTCGTGGCAGAGGTTCGTGTGTGTGCGCACTCTGCAATTGAAGAGCACGAGAGGCACTCGCAGATCGGCTGTTCTTCGGGTTCTTCGATCCTCGAAGCTATTCAGACGCTCCGTGAAAACACGACTTCCTAGAAACAGACCCCTCAAAAGGATGACCTGGTCCAACGCCATTAAACACTCCCGGTCCGTGTTTGGGTACATGAATGTGTCGCAAGGCCCAGAACAGGAGCCATTCCTGGGCTGTGAATCTCTGGTGTTTGTCAAGTCTAACAGTTTAACATGGTGGTTCACTTGGACATTAAACACAGGTTCCTTCAATCAATCATTGCCAACGGGTTTAATCGAGATTTCAGCCAGTCCCATTGGATGGTGCTCGTCTTGACAAAAAATGCCCGTCGACACGACCTGTCTGGCACTGCCAGTCCGGACGGCCTTCAAAAAGGCCAGGGGTGGTTGATTTCAGGGGTTTACGGCTACGGTAAATATGCAAGTCCCAGTGCCAGCCCCATAGGTACTTGGAGTCCTAGGGATGGAGTGGGCCATAGTGGGCCAATGCCCTGAACCGCTCTCAACATCCAGGCCATCGACTGGGCCAATGCAGCCCTGTGCATGGATGGAAAGGCACCGAAGGTGACGAGTCGAGCGGAGCGTCGGCGATGGGCGGTAGGAGGATGCAGGAGGATGTAGGATGTATGAGGTCGCATCAGGCTAGAAGTATTTGGAAAGCAACTGCATATTTGTTGGGTCATTTGTTTCAACACTTGGCAAGCCTGGGCCAGGAGGTCTTGAATTAGTATTGAGCTGAGCAACTTCTTGAAAGGTTCAACAACGAACACCATGGCTTTTGAAGCCAAATTCAAAAGGAATTGGTTCATGCCTTCAGATGCCGGTTGAGGGGCGTTGAAAAAAACCGCGCTGGGCGCATGAGAGGACCAGTTCCTTTTGTTGCATGAGGCTTGATTGGCTAGCGATGATTGGCCAATTCCTTCCAAATTTCAATTGATAAGGGTGATTTAAAGCGGAATCCACTGGAGACCAGAGGTTATTTTTTTCCAATGAACTTCAAACCCGCCTCTTGTGCGAGGCTTTGATGCGCTTGGGCTTGGGCTTATTGCGCACAGGTGGGGCGCTGAGAGCGTTAGAAGATCGGTGGAATTCCTGAAGATTCATGTATAAACTCTTGATTAAATAGGATTAAATTAAAAACTAGCCTCCCCCATTTGGATTGAAAAAGCTCTCCATATGGAGGGTTTATTAATCAAGAGTCGACATTACTTTGCAGCAGTTCATTTATACCAGCAGTTCCAAGTCAGGATGCTGAATGGAGGATAATTGGGGGTGCTCGTGTCACATCCACTCAATTCAAAATGGCATATCATTTGGTGTGTGCTTTGTTTTCTTTTTCAGGGCGGGTGGACCCCTGGACCCGGGCGGCCTGGAGGACCTCGAGGACACCTGACATGATGTGACATGTCGAAGCTTGAAGCCCTTGAAATGAAAGCAACATGAATGAAACCATGGGTGTGTGTGTGTGTTGGAATAGGGAGACCCCCTTATGGACGCTACTCCGATCATAGAAGGAATGGACAAGGGGTGGGCGAGGGTTCTCCCTATTAAAATACCAACTGCATATGCCAGGAAGGTCGTTACGGCTAGTTCGGGCGACTGACACGGGCGACACTGTCGTCGGACGCACGGCGACCTTCGGCACTTGGAGGAACGGAAGGGGTTCCTCCGTGCGAAGGCCTGGAGAGGTGAAGACGACACCGTGCCAGGATGTTCAATGCATTCAGGTTGAAAGGCAATGGCAACCATTCTGGCAGCGCCGCCATTTCAGCCCGAAATGTATATATATAATGATTATATATAGATGTTTTTGCAGGTTTTGACCCTACACAGCCGGACAGCACAGATACCAAACTGTGCT